CCGCGCTGGGGGCGGCAGGAGGGGTTTGGCTCCGGCGCTGAGCCCGGCAGAGGGAAAAGCAAGCGGTGGTGCAGTCAGTGCTGAGCTGCAACCCGACCCCGGGCTGAAAAGCTTTTCGTAGAATCATCAAGGTTGGAAAAGACCTTTAAGATTGATCAACCGCCAACCTGCCACTCCGCTTCAAGCGCTAAACTCTAAGCCACGTCATCCAGCGTCAGATCCAGGTGCCTCTTAAACGCTTCCAGGGATGATAACTCCACCAACCCTGGGCAAACTATTCCAGAGCCTGACCACCCTAACTGTGAAAAAAGTGTTCCTAACACCTACGCTGAATCTCCCCTGTCTCAGCTTATGGCCATTCCCTCTAGTCCTCTCACTGCAGGCGTGGCGGAAGTGACCATCCCCCTCCTCTCTGCGACCTGTAAGCAGTTGTAGAGAGCCATGAGGTCCATCCCTTTTCCAGAAAAGCTGAAAGTGCTCTTTAATTACAGGTTTCCTCTCACAAGACCTGATCTTTGCAAGAAGTGGGAAGCTGCCGTTAGAAGGAAAAACTTCAAGCCAACCAAGTACAGCAGCATCTGTTCAGAACACTTTACTCCTGATTGCTTCAAAAGGGAATGCAATAACAAGCTGCTGAAAGAAAATGCTGTGCCCACAATATTTTGTTACACTGAACCCAGTGAAAAGGTAAACCCAGAGCACCTGTGGCTGCAGGTGCCAAACACACGTGTGTCACTGGTGTGAGCGTGGCAGGGCTTGGCATGGGGAGCAGCAGGGAGAGGATGCAGGCTGAGAAGGAAGGATGTGGAGCCTGGGGTCATGAGGAGGGCTGTGGGGGCACCTTTGGTGGCACATGCCCAACAGCGGTTCCCATTTGCTGTGACAAGAGCAGAGGTATAGGCTGTCCCAGGCTTGGGAGCACAGACAGCGCTGCAGGCAGGCAGTCGCTCTGATCTGCTCATGTTTGCACGCACAGCAGCCATGTGCTGAATTGAAGTGAGAAGGTATTGCTCTGCAGTTAAGCTGTTCAGCAATATTGCTGGCACATTTGGAGTTCGAGAGAGCTTCAGTGGTGGTTGAGAATGGCACTGTACTCTCACACCTTGACTAATGGCTTCTGCAGGTGTTGAAGAGATGATGGATGTTAGTTGTGAAACTCAGCTGTCTCTTCAAAAGGGCTCTGTGCTCTGACTTTGCAGAGTTAAAGTGAGATGCAGAGGGGCAAAACCTTAGGTGCACCCACTATGTGTCTGTCCTGGTCCCATCTGTGCGATGTATTCCTTCCTTCCTTCTGTGCAACCCTGAGATGCAAGTCAGTTTTGAGTTCTTTCTTCTTGATGTACTAACTGCAAGACAAGAATGGCAGAGGTTGACTCCTAACTCCTATAAAGGATATAAAATACTTGATCCCTCATCACTCTGCCATAGGGGAAGTGGCAAAGGAGAGAATAGTAGACATAGTAGGGCTAGGGTGCAAAAGACTGTAGTGGGATGAAGTGCACAGAAGGAAACTCAGACTTTGGCCTGTTTGATTTTTCCTCTTTATATACAATATTGGATTGATTCAGAAGTAAAAAGGGAATGTCTTTGTAAAATGAAAAGTGGGTAATAACAGAGAAGAGAATATAAGCAGAATGTGTATATGGAGACAGACAATTTCCAGGTAAACATGGCTATATCTTTGGTTTGATTACATTTCCCTGCTTATCTGTACAACACACATTTTGTTTGTTGTGGGTAAGAGTTGCAGAATTTTTTAGTCTGAAAGCTGAATGGGTGTGTAGAACAGTCTGCAACAGTGCAGTTGGTGCAGCGGGATTAGCTGTGAGCCATGTTCCCTGTTTTTTGTCGTGCCTGGATCCACAAAAACAGAGAAGAGTGACATTTAGTTATGAAGGATTTAGTCCTATTCCTATTTGTCTCATGGCACTTGAAAATAACTGCCACATATCTTCAAGAAATAATGCAGTAACAAAGGATTGTAGTAGTGACTTTGGAATTGAATCCACACCAGTTTTGAAATGCAGGTTTCTGTCTTTTGCACTGTGTAATTTGATAGACTTTCTTTTGTTTTATGTATGTCTTAGGAGAACCACTTATTGGCTGTAAGAAGTGATTAATGTTCACTGGTGGTGTCTCAGGGGTACCAAAAATCGGTTCTCTGTGATACATTGTGACAATAGCTACGTGTTTATGGAGGGAGCATGTGCTCAAGAACTGCAAAGAGAAGTCTCTATGAATTCAGTCCAGCAATGATCTGATTTTTGTTTATGCTTCCAACACGGATGAATTTTTCTTTACCAGTTACATCTTCACTTTGTTTAGCAGAAAAATTTGATCATGACAGCTGATAGGATGAAGCTCTTTAGAATGTTCATGTGTGAATTAGGCTAACAGCAGCAGTTTCTTATAATTGTGAAGTAAGACTAATAGTTGTCTGGTTTTGTACTTTTGTGTGATCGGTAATGTTTGAGTGCATATGAAACTTCACCTCAACATCCATCACCAATCTGCCTTTTCAGTTACTGTCTGTCAAGTCTTATAGTTGCTACAAGGTACAGCTAGACCCCCAAGTATTAGCTTGTTTGCACGTTAAGTCAGGAAGTTAATGACTTGACCTTCAGATCTGATGAGCTAGATATTTTTAGATGATGAGGTTTGTCAGCTCTTCTTCTGCAACATTGTCCCTGTCCTTATGTTCTTCTGTGTAGTAATAGTATTTGCAACAGGTAAGTAGGCAGAAAAATTGTTTCAGTGTCTCTTTCATTGAGAATGTCTTAAGCTTTATTTTTGACAGGCAATATGCAAGCTCCTTTGTTTCAACAGTGCACTTCCAATCATCACGTGCACAGAAGCATTTTTTTATTATACTGCATTTCTTTGGGGAAGAAAGAATCTGGTTCTCTGCTCTGGCTTATACTCAAGTGGTGAGGGATCTGTTTTGTCTTGAACTGTACAAGTGAACCTATCAAGAGCAATATGATAAAAACTGCAGTTTTTATCTTCAAAAAAGCCTGCAGTGGAGTTGAGCCAATTACCACTTCCTTCTTCATCGCACCTGCCAGCCATGCAGTCCTGTTTCTCAACACAAGCCAGCAATGTCTGCTTGCAGCTCACAAGGCCAACCATATCCTGGGCTGCACCTAAAGCAGTGTGGCCAGCAGGCCAAGAAAGGTGATTCTCCCACTCCATCCTGCTGTTGTGAGACCCCACCTGGAGTACTGCATCCAGCTCTGGTGTCCCCAGCATAAGAAGGATGTGGACCTGTTGGAGGCAGTCCAGAGGAGGCCACAAAGATGATCAGAGGGCTGGAGCACCTCACATAAGTAGAGAGGCTGAGAGTTGGGGTTGTCAGCTTGGAGAAGAGAGGGCTTCAGGGAGACCTTACAGCACCTTCCAGTACCTGAAGGGAGCCTACAAGAAGGCTGGAAAGGGATTATTTACACGGACACATAGTGAGAGGCCAAGAGGGAATGGCCTTAAACTGAAAGGGAGTAGGTTTAGATTAGGTATTAGGTAGAAATTCTGCACTGTGAGGGTGGTGAAGCTCTGGAACAGGTTGTCCAGAGTAGCTGTGGATGCCTCATCCCTGGGAGTGTTCAAGGCCAGGCTGAAGGGAGCTCTGAACAACCTGTTCCAGTGGAAGCTGTCCCTGCCCATGGCAGAGAGGGGTTGAAACTGGATGGTCTCTGGTGTTCCTTCCAACTCAAACTGTTCTGTACATCTTATGATCCTCACTTGTTCCACGTGCTAGGGCAGGTGTAGGCCATACCTTGTGTTGCATTGCTTTGGCTTTTGGCAATGGACAGAAGGTTTCTGCTGTGATGGTGGGAGAGTGAGTAGCTTTCCATCATCATAGCAACTATGAGCAAAGAGTAAATACCAAGGATCAGAGAACTTCTTTGCCGTTGAGCTGTTTGTTTTGGTTCATCCTGTCTCTTGAAATTAAACCCTTATGCTACAGCCCAAAGCCAGTGACAGAGTCCCTTCCAGTTGTTGAGAAGACAGGCCTTGCTTTGCCTACCTCTCTGCTCTGCCAGCTTATCAGCCCCCTCAGCAGTCGACCCTTATTATACCTCAGCAAAAGACTGTGCAGTTCTGCTATGTTTTGACTGAGTTAGCCAATAGGTTCAATTATGTAGCAATAAGATGCAGCAAAAAGAAGCGACAGAGGGAATGGGAGGCAAGTTACTAGGTCATCTAACTCCGATTTACAGAACTGCAGCATGTGTTGTTGCTTCTTGACTAATTGCGGATATGTATTTGACCTAAGTCTTCAAATAAGAGTAATTGCTACATTATTCAATTTTTTGTTTATTTGAGACATCAAGGGCTTGGGTTTCAGGTAACCCTTAAAAAGAAGCTGCTTTAAAATATCTCCAGTGGAGAAACCAGACAAAACAGGCCCAGATCTGTTTGTCAGTTCAGAAAATTTAGGCTTTGAGGTTTATTTTATTTATTTATATCCTGATTGTTTGTATTATTCTGGGGCTGTGGTAAGGGAGCTGTATTGTAAACAATGTTAAGCATGACAATTTACTTTTTTTTTCTTGTTCTTTCTAGTCTGAAGAATGTGAAGAGCCAGAAGAGCCACTACCACCTCCTCCGCTGCCGCCACCACCACCGCCTCCACCGCCGCCGCCGCCGCCAGCAGCTTCGGTACTGCCACCAGCTCCATCAACGCCTCCTTTCCATTTGTCTCAAGTAGATGCCAGATTTGTAGATCCGAGTATTGGATTACTGATGCCTCCTCTCCAGACCCCTAGTAACCTTGCTGTTTTTTGTGATCATAACTATACTGTAGAGGATTCAGTTCATCAGCGGAAAAGAATTCAGCAGCTGGAGGAGCAAGTCGAAAAACTGCGGAAGAAGCTCAAGACTGCACAGCAGCGATGCCGACGTCAGGAAAGACAAATTGAAAAACTGAGAGAGATTGTTCAGTTGCAGAAAGATAAAGACACAGTGACAGGAAAAGGCTATGTGATTCTGCCTAATGACTATTTTGAAGTTGTAGAAGTACCTGCCTAGAAGTCATGAACATCAGTTTTTGCTTCGGTAGGCCAAGAAATGTAGTCTAAAAACTAAATTCTTTTTAATTCTGTATGTAAGACTCTCCAGAATTCTAAACCAGTGAATAAGCAGTCACACAAATGAGATCATATTTTTTCCTCATTGTCATTTCAGTGTGATAGACTTTTAATATATTTAAGATGCAAGCACTGCAGAATTAGAATATGCAATGAATTTACAAAACATGAATTGTTTTACAGAAGGAAAAGGATGCAAGGCTGAATACACTTAGAACTTTTTTGTTTTGTTTTTTACAATGTCTGTCTTACGCTTAAAGGGGATGGGAACTGAATGTGGCTGAGAGCGAAGGTGAGGTGTTGTGTACCTAGTACTCTTTTAAGGTGTTTAATGTCAGCTTTGGAGATCCCCAGTAAGTAGTTTTCACTGACTTTTGAAAGAGCAGAATTAGGTCAGGTAACAACATCTGCAAGTGCTGCAGAAAGATAGATAAGGTACACATTTCAGTCTGGGAAAACTTCCAGCCTCACTTTGCTATGCATTCGAAGTACTGCAGAAAGTCTAACTCCTGGATCTTTTTGGTGAGGTATGTAAATGAACCACTTCTTTTGGAGGAACCATTTGCCATATGTATGTTTTGAGGGACATGAGGAGAATTCATCAACAGAGTTGACTAGAGCTGTAGAATAGGCTTTTGTTTTGACAGCACGTAAAAATACTCTTGAAGTGCAGGGCTGAAGTGAACATGTACGTTACTGCACTGTTGGCAGGATCAAGAAGGCGGCATACTCTTTATAGTGCCTGCATCACGGAAGTCCCCTGATAATACACAGTCCCCAGTCTGTTGTATTCTCATGTTCCCATAAACATTGTAACAGGTAGAGTGTTGTATTTGTTCTCGAAATTATTTGTCTTAACTCACACCTCAACTATCTGTAGCTTAGGAAATAAAGAAGGTTTTTTCCTTATCCTGGGAGTCAGACACTTGTGACTTTCAAATAATCATAGAATTTAAGGGTTGGAATGGACCTTACAGGTCATCTAGTCCCAGACCCCCACTGCCATGGGCAGGGACACCTCCTCCCTAGATCAGGTTGCTCAAGGCCTCATCCAGTCTGGCTTTGAGCACTGCCAGGGTTGGGGCTGTCCTGGGCAACCTGTTCCAGTGTCTCACCACCCTCACAGTAAAAAACTTTTTCCTAATATCTAACCTAAACTTCCCCTCCTTCAGTTTGAACCCATTACCCCTTGTCCTATCATTGCAGTTCCTAAGAGTTCCTCTCCGGCTCCCTTGTAGGTCTCTACTCAGTCTTCTGTCCTCCAGGCCAAACAGCCCCAACTTCCTCAGCCTGTCCTTGTAGAGGAGGTGCTCCAGTCTTATCAACTTCATGACCCTCTTCTGAACTTGCTCCAAACAGTTCCATGTCCTTCTTATGTTGATGGCACTAGAACTGCATGAAACCATTTCAGTGTACTCTGATTTTCTTTCTTTCTTTCCTTTTGTTTTATTTTCACTTCCCAAAAGGCATCCACCAAAGGACAATTAAGGAATTAGACTTTGGAGTTGTTTGGTGCTAGACTGGTTTATAATATCTCAAATGCTGCTGCCTCTCCTTCAGCCTTATTAAGACTCTTTCTAGAAATTAATTTAGCATGACAAAGTACTGCAGCAGTTTGTACTTACTTTTTAATAATTTATTTAGTCAATGAGCTCATTCAAAAATCACAGAAAATGGCATCTTGCTAACCTTGTTGTAGCCTTCACAGCTGAAATTCCTGGATATATTAGATGTGAGGAAAATCGATTTTCCTCAGTCTATGTCAAACTTGTGTGCAGTGTGGATTCTAGCTCTGATGTTAAACAAGTCTTGTTCATGATGGCTTTAAAAACTGACCTTAATATCACATTAGCATGACATTTTGAAATGTTTCGGACCAGTCTCGATAATTCTGACCTCACTCACGCCACATGTCTATTTTCCCCAACATTTTGTTGACTTAAGGGGAGCAAAAAAATGCTGATGCTTCCTTTTGTGTACACTTACTACTTAATTAAAAATTAAAAAAGCAAATGGTGCGTAAGATTTTTGATTACTATCTGTTGTCTTTTCCCAGGATTTTGCCAAAACTATCTTGACATTTTGTATCTTTTTCTAGTAGTTCCCTGGTTTAGATGCTGGGATTTTCTCACAGTGTTTCCAAGTCTTGTTCCTGTTACACTTTATGCTTAAAATAAACTTGAAATTGCTAAAATTCAAAAGTCATGAGGAAAAGGCATTTAAACAACTGTTGCTATGCTGTTGGCATGTGTGACCAGATAGCAGATTGAGTCTGTTTTCTTTGCAAGATACTCTCTCTTCTTACTCTCCAGGAATTTCAAGTGTGACTTCCTGAGGCACGGTG